AGCCCAGAGGTTGTTTCAGGGTTCTATCTGTGAGTTAGCCATGCCCTGACTTAGATCAGCCCAGAGGTTGTTTCAGGGTTCTATCTGTGAGTTAGCAAAGCCCTGACTTAGATCAACCCAAAAGTTATTGCAGGGCTCTATATGTGAGTTAGCCATGCCCTGACCTATATCAGCCCAGAAACTGTCTTGGGATTGGATGAAGTCTGCATACCAATGGCTTGCATTTATATGTTTACTTTGATGCGTATTGTTTTAGATTGAAAAGGAGGAAGTGTCTTTGAGGCGTGTCATTGGAGCCAAAAAAGACCAATATTTCCTGGACAAAAAAGTGGTGACAAAAACTGATGTGATGAACCTGCTGGAGAGTGCTGGGTTTTCTCGTAGTAATCCTTACTACATTGTTAAGCAAGGAAGGGTAAGATTCAATAGAGAACAACTATTTTTCCCCTTTCCAGTCAAACCAACTTTTCAATATTTAATTCCCTCTCAGACTAAGTGTTTCATGTAGCTCGACATATCATATTAGGAATGAGGGCAAAACAATTGTCATCTCACGGTACCTGATTTAGGGAGGGAGGGGTGGTGTTACCTGGTACCTACCATCTCTGGAAGTGAAATCTTAGATTTTGTCCCCAAATATCTCCAAAACTAAAAGCCAAATCACAGAAATGAATGGACTGTCTGTCTGCATGTATACTAAAAAACATATTTGTGCATAGAAATTGCCACTACGCACTCCCAGTATCAAGCATTTGAACAGGTCTCTGAGGGGGGAGGGGGTAGGTAGCAATACACACCACCTTGATTCATAAAATCAGGTCCCTATTTTAGACGATTGTTTCGACCTCGTCCCTTACTTGTTTTGTTTGCTAAGTCAATCACATGTTCTTCAGTGGTATAATRATTTCGGCATCATAATCACTTTGTGTATTTCACGTGTTGACTTTAGGCCAAGTAAAAAAAAAGTTTCTCGTCCAGATTTCTATAAAAAAGAGAGTGGGCAGGGTTTAGGATAGTTTCACCTATGCATTGGTTCGCCTACTGCAGAAATTTTTTTCCTTTTCTACAGAATATTTATTGTCTCACCGTTCATAGATAGTTTTTGCAATGCATTTGACATGTAAGCAAACTTCAGTAGGCTAAACCAATGCATAAGCGAAACAATCGGATACCGTGGGCAGGCATATTTTTCGTTTAATCAAAATTATCTTTTTTTGACCCAATAAAGGGGACTGAGTACAATGCCAAAATAATGCCTGTTGCTCTTTGTTTGTTCAGATTCCTTCAATAACAAATAATAAAAAAAAAAGGCAGCCCCCCCCTCCCCCCCCAAAAAATAAAACGGGTGGGGACAAAAAAAATTTTTTTAATTGGACTTATAAATTGTAATTCTTACTAGTTTTTAGAACAGGGTTCGTTCTACTCCTTAAACTCCTTGAAAACTCCTTGAATTTAATTCACGTTTTCAAGGGCACTTGAAAAGCTCTTGAATTTAACGATTTTAGCAAAAGGCCTTGAAAACTCCTTGAATTTTTGCTTTGATCATTACTTGCATGGTTCTGAAATAGATCTAGTCAGAAAGATCGGCAAATCTGAAAGTCGGCCACCATGTAAAACCTTGGCATAGTTAGCTGAACATACTCCTTGAAAATTCTTTTTTGGGTCCTTGTATACTCCTTGAATAGTCATTGAATTTTAAATGGTTACCTCAGAACGAACCCTGTTGGAATTAGTTTTTGTTGTCGTGTTGGGGAATGAAGTCATGATTAATTCAACCTGTGTATGTCTCATCAGATTAACCAGTTAGCAGTTGCTAAGGACAATGAAAGACTCAAATTACTAAGAGAAGTGGCAGGTACTAGAGTATACGATGAAAGGAAGGAAGAAAGCAAACATATTCTTAAAGATTCAGGTAAGCATTGGTGCTCCTTTAATGGTTTTACAAGTAAAATAATTATAATCAGATATTGTAGAAGGTAACAAAGGGGTGCTTACCATTTATCAAAAGAATTTTGAAATTTCAGTCACAATGATAAAGGTACAATCATTTTCTGAAAATTCCATTCCGAATTTGTGGATAACCTTTAGAGGTTGACCTGAATTTCTGACCGGAAGGATTTGAATGGAATTTCTCTTAAAATTTACTGAAATATCGGTTGCTGTTATTCACTCGCAATTGTAGTTGAGAAAAATCTGTCAGAAATTCTCTAGCCATTAAGCCTCAGTCATACTTACTAGATTGTTCTGCTTAATGGTAATACCCCAGGTAGACCAACAATGGAAAATCAGTAATAGTATGAGGCCGAGCAAAAAAATAAGTGTGTTTCCTGTTGCATGAGAAAAATAATTGGGGTCGGTAGGTCGGATTTTTTTTACTGATACAACAGTGGAAATGAGCTTACTGGGAACCCTGTGGTGCATTTGGGAATGAAAAAAATATTAGGGTCGGCAAAAATCGGCAAGAAAATTAGGGTCGGTCACGCAACAGGAAACAGACTATTTTTTTGTTTGGCCTTACCATTCCAAACCATAGTCACTTTGACCAATTTGTTTTGCTAATACAACACTGCCTCTCACTTCTGGTTTCTGTAATCAACATCCCATGCGAATAGAGTTGGTTGGGTCTGCCTCTTGTTTCCTGGGTTTTCGCATGGGTTCTAAGGTTGGGGGAGGGGAGGGGTCTCCGAGGTAAAAGTATGGCGTATGCTCTTCAGAAATTTGCAAAAATACCCCTAAGAGATACCTATTTTTAAAAGGGGGTGGCTGGACAATTTTTCACATCTAAGAGATACTAAGAAATTCTGAAATCCCAAATGTGAGATACCAAATTGCTGAATTTTATCCCCAAGACATATGACAAGCATACCCGATTTACCCCAAAGCCCACCTCCCCACCAGAGTTCACAGCTTTTTCTTACTCAAGGATTGATTGTTAGTGTGAATTCTAACCATGTGATTGGTGGAGATACAATTTCTTTTATTCATTTATTCACAGAAAACAAAAAAGAAAAGATAGAAGAATTACTCAAATATATTGAGGAAAGACTGGAGACACTAGAGGAGGAGAAAGAAGAGCTCAAAGCATATCAGAAATGGGACAAAGAGAGAAGGTACAGAAAGCATGCAGTTCATGTTTGCAATTTAACAAAATAGACATCAGTTTTTTATGTGTCTGTCCTCTTATTGACGATAAATTACATCATCACATTGTAAAAGTAGTGTGGATCCAYGAGGCATAGAGGACCAACACATAAAAAACTGATGTCTAATTGTTTTTTACAGTAACAAAAACGATAAAAAATTCTCATTTTTAGAAATCAAAACAACCAACGGAAACTCACATTGCAGCGACTGGGATTCGAACCCAGAACCCCAATGGTGAGCAGCAAGCATTTTACCACCACGTGTTCCTAACTCCCAAGTATCAAAGTTTTGAGCTGAAGAATCCCAACAATTCCACTTGTTTTGTTTTCTTTAGGTGCTTAGAATACACAATACATGACAAAGAACTGAGAGATACAAGAGAAAAACTTGAGGAGGTAAGTGAATTGCATCTACTGCAAATTTTGATTAAGGCTTTTAACAAATTATACAGGATTTCATTTATTCCAGTTCACCTTTTGTTTGAACATGGACTGCTTGTTACCAAGGTGATTTTCGTTCCAGATAGCAAACTGGTACTTTGTAGTTGATATTAGGTTTTGGTGTCACACATACATACTACTACATATGATGCTCAACTCCACAGGCAGCCCAATCAGTATTAACTAAAATCATGTGCATTTGTGTTGTTAGTTGGAGAAAGTGAGGCAAGATGAATCAAACAGAGCTGGTGAGCTGCAGAAAGAAGCAACAAAAGCTAGTGAAAAAATAGAAGTAAGTTGATCTATATTGTACAGTGGTAAAAATAATGGTTGGTCATCACACAATTCCTGCCAAAATTAGAACTTTTCTTGTCAATCTTTGCCTTAATGGTAAGCATGTGTGGGTGGTTTAAATTGATAGTAAGCATGCATGGGTGTTCTTTAAAAAATCATCGACACTTCACCAACGCTTTACCAACGCTTTACCATTAATTGGCCGACTGTTGGTTGTGCATTGACCGTGCATCGACTGACAACAAAGCCCAAAGAAGCACCAGAACTGTCGACTGTGTGTTGGCCGATGGTTGGCCGATACACAGCCAATAGCTGGCCAATAGCTGGCCAATGCTCAGCCAACACACGGCCGATAGTCTGGCAACTGTCGAACAACAGTCGGGCATTAGTCGATCGACACGTGTCAGCTGGTCATAAAGTACACGATTACCGGCACTCGAGAAGTGTTCTGAAGCACACAGCTATGCGTTGTGCTTCTCATAACACCTCTTGTGTTTTACCAAACCCCGTGTGCTTTATCACTGCACACAGCACATGCGCACGTTTCCTATTTCTTCATAACCCTAGTAGAAACGAACAAATGAGGACGGTTTGGTCATTTTGACCCAAGGTATTTTTGACTGTAAATTGAAATTGTAATTTACCAAAGTCGAATGGACAAACTGGAAATTTTAACGCAATCAATCCACTAACATCTTATTGATTTAAAAAGGGAACGTTTTTTATCATTCTTCTATCTATTCCAGAAATATTCTCATGTGCTGAAGGAATTAAGTGAGAGGGAGACAATTATCAACACAGAAAAACACCAACTGGAAGAAGAGTGTCAAGAACACTTCAAACAGAGAACAAAACTGGAACTTGACATCAAAGATCTGGAAAACATTGCTTCTGACGACGCTACCACCAAGGTTGGTCAGAAACTTATAAAGGGATTTAAACATGTAATAGCCATAGATTTCTTTTTTACAATGTTCTGGAATATTCAACTTTTTTCTTAACAAATTTCTTCCCGGAGAATCACGTCATCACAAAGAGAAAAGAAATCGCTTTTATTTAAGTGTCTAGTTGTTCTGGTGCTTTCGCACTAATTGGGGACACTTTTTGCTCACACGCACTACCACTTCATTTCATATTCTATGCACACAATGCTCAACTCTCATGTTGATTTTTACGGAGGGAGGAAACCGGAGAACCCGGAGAAAACCCTCGTAGCATAGGAGAGAACAACACATCAAACAAACTCGATTCACATGTTGTGACCGGAGGGCTTGAACCAGCGACCTGACCCGTTGGAATAAAAAAATAAGGATAAAAATAAAGAAAAAAATAAAAGAATAAAAGGAAAAAAGGAAGGGATTGTAAAAATGTCTGCACATGCTCTAAATCATCCTACATGTAAATCCGTATGCAAATTAGTCAAAACATCTTGAATTGCCTGATAAATTGGAATTCACAAAATACCAAAACTTAGTGTCCATGCTTGAAACTTAAGGCTAAATTCTTAGAAAACGTTCTGAAATGCACACATTCGCAAACATCTTCCATGCTTGAAACTTAAGGCTAATACATATTGTGTTTGATAACTCAATATCTTCGTCTCACAAAAGTATACTCCCAGAATTTTTACAGTAGTATTCTTTGAGATTTCCTTTCTCACTCAAACTCTTCTAAATTTTAGAAAATGTGCTGAAATGCACACATTTGCAAACATTTTTCTCTAGTGTCTATACATATATTTGATGTGTGCCTTTTATATATAAATATTTGATATGTTTACAGGAACAATACAAACTGGAACTAGAAAGACTTCAGGTCACTATTGCTCAACAACAACAAGAATTGGATAACCTACTGCCAAGTTTTAATCAGTACAAAACAGAAGAAGAGACATGTGCCAACAGGTGAGATAGGCAGCRCAAATAAATAGAGATTATTAGTTGGCTAAGCATCTGTACATAGAGGATATTACATGGGCGCGCGAAGATACGCATTTTTTTAGATTTTCAACACGAGAAGTTAAAATTCCTATCTCCAAGCGGCCATGCAATATTCTGTTTATTATATAAATTGTCAATAAAGTATGTTTTGGCTTTTTTAGGCAATTCTTTCCGTATTTTTGAATAGCCATCGCAATGGTGTTATTTTCACACATGAAGATATCAGTTTTTTTATATTTCATTGGTAGTTATGTAATAAAGCTGTGTATTTTTACAAATTACGGAGTATTTTGGCGAGTCTTTAGGAGCAGGCATAGCTCAGTTGGTTAGTGCACAGCCTTCAGAGCTAGAGGTCCATAGTTTGATCCTCAGGAACGCTACGTCTGTTTTGACTTCTCTCTGTTCTGTGTAGCTTTAATTAGCTTTAAATACCCGTAAAAAGGAGCACTGATAGTAAGAGGGGGTAGAGGGTGCACCTTCGAGCGCATTAATCATTTCATTAAACATGAGCCCTTGGCTTGGGAGATTTGGGCAACCACTCCCTGTGTTATTGAAATAAAATAAATCACCTTTTCTTTCATTCATTCATCAGTCTATACATCCATTAATCCCATCCCAAGTGTATCCATTCATCCATCTATCCATCCATCCGTCTGGCCTTTTATCCATCCATAAATCCCATCCCAACTATCCATTCATCCATTTATCCATCTATCCATCCATCCATCAGTCTGTCCTTTTATCTATCCATTAATCCCATCCCAACTATCCACCCGTACATCCATTAGTTTTCTATCATTCATCCATCCATCCATTAATCCCATCTATTTATTCAACCAATGACATCCTTGCCCTCCAGCTTGTCAACAGGTGTCCTATAGTTTATCTGTTGTTTATTGGTAGGATTACAATAGGTATTAAGTATTACTTACAATATTATAAATGTCACTTTTTTAGACTGGAAGCATGTGAAAGGAGAAGAACAGAACTCTATGCTAAACAGGGCAGGAAAAACCAATTTTCATCCAAAGAAGAACGAGATAAATGGATAAAAAAAGAGATGAGATCACTAAATAATGCTGTATCCAAGAAAGAGTCACAGGTATTAACAAATATAGATGATAAAAGCCTTGAATGTGTGGTTACAGAAAATTTCCATACCCCACCATGGAGGAAGTTTGAAAAAAGTTCCTGGAATTTCCTCTGGAATTTCCATATGACCCATACACCACCATGGAGGAAGTTTGAAAAAAGTTCCTTGAATTTCCTC